AAAAAAAAAAAAATCCCAAAGTGTGCAACATACAGAGATGTACAGAGATATACATAGGTATACAGGTACTAACCAAGAGACCGGTCGGCGATACGAAAATTCCGGAGCCGATCATAGTGCCAACGATTAGAGCCACCCCACTGACGAGTCCCACCCGTCTCTTGAGGTGAACAGGGTCGTCCTTCTCTGGGTCCTGCCCCGCCAGCCCTCGGCACCCTCCACCCCCGTCTTGGTCATTCCCCAGACCAGGCCCGCCCGTCGGCTGCTGTTCTTGCTGCTGCGTTTGTTGTAGTTGTTGTTGTTGTGGTGGTGGTGGTGATTGCTGAATTTGGGCTGGGAGCCGGCCTTCCTCGGCGAGCTCGGCCTTGGACCAGCAATTGTTGCGCATGCGCAGGTTCGCCGCCGGCGTTTGCTCGCCATTGCCAATCGGATGCTGATTACCACGTTGCTGCTGCTGCTGCTGCTGTTGATCGCACGGGCTACCTGATCCTGCATTGTTTCAATGTTGCTGTTGTTAATCATTTGTACATTGAGGTGCGAATATACATGTATATAATAAACGTTGGCTCGTCCAAAAAAAAAAAAGAACGGACAGCGTCAATAGTGAATAACGAAACGAATGACTGGACAAGCTCGCACAGACGATATGCAAATTTTCAAACACGCGCAATTAGTTGGCTGTCGTTCATCTAATGGACGGTAATTGTTATTCTACCTGCTGCACGGAGAGGGACTTTTTTTTAGAAAAATCTGGGAAACGTCTTATTTCGCTTTTGCATGGCTTTTTTTTTTTTCATTGGTAGGGAGACTCTCTGGCAAATGTGATGCAAACGACTGTGTTTGGTTCAATTTTACGGATTACGTGGGATATAGCCAAGTGGGTGCTCGTGTACGTGCTAACGGCGAGGAGGATGCAGCTTTTACTGCACAACTTTGAGAAAAAAAAAGTCGTAAAAGTTGACGGCTTGTTGGATTGCGCTTCGCGGCATGAACAGTTCCACGAAAAAAGGATGAAATTACACGTAGGTAATGAAACGAAAATTATTGAAAACAAACTACAGGCAATTATTAAAGAAAAACTTGTTTGTCAGAGTAAAGCGAAAAATCATTTTTCATTCAAATCGCGGTAAATTGAGCGGAAATTCGCTAAGCGCCGGAAAATCGTATAGGTATACTCTTAAATGGCACGTTACTTTCGGCTTGGATGTTGCATCACATCCCCCGACTCGAAAGCTCCTTTGACTCGCTTCGTTTTGGGCTCTTAGCGCTTGCCGATCGTGGAAAAACACCCAAACTAAATTTAACAAAAGCGAATGACGCGCTTTTCATGGAACTGCTCGTTTATTAACAAACCCTCGGGTTGAAAATGTAAATTACACGTTAACGAGATGAAATGAGAAAAAACGCGAGCGTCGGCATGTATGTAGACTCACCTCGTTGCATCATCTCATTCCCGGAAACGTGACGAAATAAAAAAAAAAAAACTTGCCCACGCAAAAAAATGACGATTCTAGCGGACGACTCGAGCGCGTCGCGAATATTCAACTTTTTGTGGAAAACCACTCCGTTAAGTAACACCCGTGCGTGTGAAAAAAAAAAAAAAAAATAGTGAGAAGCAGGAGGGGGGGCGTAAATAAAGAAGGAGTTATATAAAAAAAAAGAGACGCGTCATCGTCGACCCGCGAAAATAGAATCGACGAAAGCAAACAAAACGCACTTAAGCAAAGAAATATCATCGGCGGGAAATCGAAGAGTCGCCACGGGGGAGGGGGACGACCGCACCACCGAAAATATATACGCGCCGACCAATAACCGACCCGCAAAATACATGTATACACACTCGTGACTCTCGGCCAATGGTCTCGGATTACAGTTAACGAGCTCTCGTTAAAAAAAAAAAAAAAAAAAAAAAAAACCCAAAGTGTAAAGGGGAGCCTAGAAAAACGAAATCGAGGGGCGCACGCGACTCGACTATCACGATTTGCATGAACTTGAACTTTGATCTCGCAAAAAATACACACACACAGGAAATAAGAGTCCTCGAGTCTCTACAGTTATATATCCGCGATCGATATGTAATATGCAGCTCTTGTTGAGTACATCGTGAAAATAACGATGAAAAAAGAAGAAAAAAAAAAAAATCCCAAAGTGTGCAACATACAGAGATGTACAGAGATATACATAGGTATACAGGTACTAACCAAGAGACCGGTCGGCGATACGAAAATTCCGGAGCCGATCATAGTGCCAACGATTAGAGCCACCCCACTGACGAGTCCCACCCGTCTCTTGAGGTGAACAGGGTCGTCCTTCTCTGGGTCCTGCCCCGCCAGCCCTCGGCACCCTCCACCCCCGTCTTGGTCATTCCCCAGACCAGGCCCGCCCGTCGGCTGCTGTTCTTGCTGCTGCGTTTGTTGTAGTTGTTGTTGTTGTGGTGGTGGTGGTGATTGCTGAATTTGGGCTGGGAGCCGGCCTTCCTCGGCGAGCTCGGCCTTGGACCAGCAATTGTTGCGCATGCGCAGGTTCGCCGCCGGCGTTTGCTCGCCATTGCCAATCGGATGCTGATTACCACGTTGCTGCTGCTGCTGCTGCTGTTGATCGCACGGGCTACCTGATCCTGCATTGTTTCAATGTTGCTGTTGTTAATCATTTGTACATTGAGGTGCGAATATACATGTATATAATAAACGTTGGCTCGTCCAAAAAAAAAAAAGAACGGACAGCGTCAATAGTGAATAACGAAACGAATGACTGGACAAGCTCGCACAGACGATATGCAAATTTTCAAACACGCGCAATTAGTTGGCTGTCGTTCATCTAATGGACGGTAATTGTTATTCTACCTGCTGCACGGAGAGGGACTTTTTTTTAGAAAAATCTGGGAAACGTCTTATTTCGCTTTTGCATGGCTTTTTTTTTTTTCATTGGTAGGGAGACTCTCTGGCAAATGTGATGCAAACGACTGTGTTTGGTTCAATTTTACGGATTACGTGGGATATAGCCAAGTGGGTGCTCGTGTACGTGCTAACGGCGAGGAGGATGCAGCTTTTACTGCACAACTTTGAGAAAAAAAAAGTCGTAAAAGTTGACGGCTTGTTGGATTGCGCTTCGCGGCATGAACAGTTCCACGAAAAAAGGATGAAATTACACGTAGGTAATGAAACGAAAATTATTGAAAACAAACTACAGGCAATTATTAAAGAAAAACTTGTTTGTCAGAGTAAAGCGAAAAATCATTTTTCATTCAAATCGCGGTAAATTGAGCGGAAATTCGCTAAGCGCCGGAAAATCGTATAGGTATACTCTTAAATGGCACGTTACTTTCGGCTTGGATGTTGCATCACATCCCCCGACTCGAAAGCTCCTTTGACTCGCTTCGTTTTGGGCTCTTAGCGCTTGCCGATCGTGGAAAAACACCCAAACTAAATTTAACAAAAGCGAATGACGCGCTTTTCATGGAACTGCTCGTTTATTAACAAACCCTCGGGTTGAAAATGTAAATTACACGTTAACGAGATGAAATGAGAAAAAACGCGAGCGTCGGCATGTATGTAGACTCACCTCGTTGCATCATCTCATTCCCGGAAACGTGACGAAATAAAAAAAAAAAAACTTGCCCACGCAAAAAAATGACGATTCTAGCGGACGACTCGAGCGCGTCGCGAATATTCAACTTTTTGTGGAAAACCACTCCGTTAAGTAACACCCGTGCGTGTGAAAAAAAAAAAAAAAAATAG